ATAGTTTTTGAATTATATGTTTTCTGGTTGTTTGACGAATTTCAGTGAAGGAATATAAATTCCATATTCAAATCAAATTCATCTCCAGAATTCAAAATGTTTTCTGATTAATTCATTGAATTCTAATTTAATGTGTGATATGTTAGTAGAACTTAGCCCTAGGAGCTGAAGTTTTTAAGTAATAACTTAAAACCTTCAGAAGGAGGCTGAACTTTTCCTTCTACACTAGCTAAATTAAACTTCGGCTGGCAGCTCAAGTTTTTAAATTATTACTTAAAAACTTCAGAAGGAGCCTGAAGTTTTCCTCCTACACTGGATAAATTAAAAAATGATATTGCACTAAAAAAATTTCTGCCAAGCAGCTGAAGTTTTTTTTTGTTATTACTCAAAAACTTCAGCAGGAGGCTGACGTTTTCCACATACACTAGCTAAATTAAAAAAATCATATTGCAATAAAAAAAACTTCGGTCTAACAGCTGAAGTTTTTTATTTATTACTTAAAAACTTCAGAAGGAGCCTGAAATTTTCCTCCTACACTGGTTAAATTAAAAAATGATATTGCACTAAAAAAACTTCGGCCAAGCAGCTGAAGTTTTTTTGTTATTACTCAAAAACTTCAGCAGGAGGCTGAAGTTTTCCTCCTACTGCTGAAGTTTTTCCTCCTACACTAGCTAAACTAAAAAATCATATTGACACTAAAAAAAATTACGAATAAGCAGCTGAAGTTTTTTTGTTATTACTAAAAAAACTTCGAATAGTTCGTTTCCTCTGCTATTTTTTGAATTTAAATAGAATAAATATTAAAAAAAACGCAGAAAAAACTTATAACAAAAACTTAATATTTCATTAAAACACAATAAAATATAAAAACAAATTACATAAATAAACAAAACAAAAAAATTAATCGTCCATTCCATCATCATCATCATCATCATCATCATCATCGTTGTCGCTTCCAGATGGACGAGCATCTTCATCAGCAAGATTGTCAAATCTTGCATACATCACAAGCTTATCAAGCTTGTTGTTAATTTCTTTGAGCTCCTTGTCGTACTTTTCTATCACCTCATCAATCTTCAACTCAAATGCCTCCATTATGTCTTGCTTGATATCGTCCACTATTTGCCTAATGACAGCATACATTTTTCTCCTTTTTGTATTTTATATCTGCTAAAATGTATGTGTTTGAGTGAATAAACTCAGAAGGAATAGCGTGCTTATATAGGGGGAAAAAACTTTTGCATGGTATATGAAAAGGCAAAAAGGAATTTTAAAGGTTGTCTAATGAAAAGCGTGTATGAATATGATAGGAATGTATTTATTACACTAACACATACCCCCAAACGCAATATAATTACTACTTTAATTGTGTAGGTTAATGATGTATACTATGTAATTAATGCTGAAACATGCTATCGTTTTCTGTAAAAAACTTCGGATTAATCTCCTAAAGTTTTTTAGTTCATTTCTAAAATCTTCAGCACGTACCTGCTGAAGTTTTTTCCTCTGCATTTATGAATCACCATGATAAAAAAAACTTCAGCTAATATGCTGAAGTTATTAAGGTTATCTCTAAAAACTTTAGCAGTTATAAGCTGAAGTTTTATTTGCAGAATTCATTAATTATGTCATAGATCTTTTTCCAAAAAAACTTCAGCAGAAGATGCCTAAGTGATTTAGTTTATTTGTAAAAACTTCAGCACATACAACATAAAAATTCTTCTGTTCACTTTCTTAATAGTTGCCACTAAACATGAATCTGCAGGATGAGTTCGATTTGCGTTGTCATAACATTCAATGGGAGATGGACTCCTGATTTCAAATACTTGGATCATGATACAAAACTTGTTCTACTTAATAAGGACATATCATTCAATACTTTCCTGAAGAAAATTAGTGAAGTTGCAAATATAGATTCAACCAGATATGCACTAAAAGTATGGTTTGATATCAAACTAAATACAAGCAAAGGAATGCTTGTAACTTCAGATGAAGAACTCACTACCTGTATACATTTGCTTACAACTGATTCACCCTACAAGAATTGCCATTTTGTCATCGAAAAAATACAACTTTCAGAATCAGCAGCATTCAACCAATATCTTGCATATGCAATAGATTCAGAGCCTATTGCTGAGTATCAATATGAAGTACGACAGCCAGTAATGGAAGTAGACAAAGTGCAACAACCTTCTATCATTACAGCTCTTTCACAACAATTATCCCCTCCGCCAATAAATTCATACCAGTTTCTCAAGGACCAAGAAGAAGAATGACAGCTAATAATGCAAATTGACAACCAACACAAAATCCAACAAAACTTTTTTTCACCTTCTGCAATGATAAATAACAATGAAGATGAAGTAAACATGGAGCTTATACCGATAACATCACATAGAATTGAAGAAATTGCTGAAAGTTCTTCTGCTTCTCAGAAATCAAGAAAAAGAGTGAGGAGAAAGGTCAAAGAATCTCCACCATGTAAAATACTAAGGCACGATACATTACCTGAGGAAGTAAGAGTTGGATCAATCTTTGACAACAAAGAAAACATGACTAAATTTTTCTGCAGCTTGGAGATAAATCAAAAAGTTGAATTCACTGCTGTTAGATCATGTTCCAAGAGATACGAGCTGAAACGCATCGTGGACAAATGTGGTTGGAATGTACGTGCCACTAGAATAAAAAATTCCACACTGTTCAATGTGATAAAATATCGTAACATCCATGAATGCTCGGTTGATGCAAGAAAATCAGATCAGAAGCATGCTACATCAAATTTTATAAGTGAACAAATTATAGAACATGTTCGAGACAAAAAAGATAGAGGTTACACCAGCCTTTGTAGAAAATGAAATGAAAAAGAAATTTGGAATTGACATTGGTTATCACAAGGCATGGCGTGCTATTCAAAAAGCTGTTGCTTGCATAAGAGGAACACCTGAGGAGAACTACCAGATTCTTCCTTCATACCTACACATGATGGTGGCTAAAAATCCAGGAACGTACACAAGCATAAAAAGAGATGCGCACAATAGGTAAGGAAAACAATACTAACAATCAGCCTGAAGTTTCAAATGTTACTATTTGAAAAACTTCAAACCTTATAATTTGTTTTTCTGTGTTTCAATGTACAGATTTGCTTACTTGTTCTTTGCTCCTGCGGCATCACTAGCTGGTTGGTCCTACTGTAGACCTGTTATTGCAGTAGATGCAATATTTTTGAAGTCAAAATATCGTGGTGTTCTATTTGTTGCTGTATCAAAGGATGCAAACAAAAATCTTTCCTTTATGTTTTGGTGTAGCAGATTCAGAAAACAATGAGGCATACATTTGGTTCTTTGGGGAAATGAGAAAAGCAATTCAAGTTCGTCGTGAACTGGTTTTCTTGTCAGATAGAATCCAATCGATCGCAAATGGTATTAGAAGAGTTTTTCCTGAAGCTCACCATGGTATCTGCCTATATCACTTTGAGAAAAATTTAAAGCAAAGACATGCAAAAGCCATGGTAATAAATCTTTTTCAAAGTGCTGCAAGATCATACAAACGTGAAGATTTTAATCAGTTAATGTCCCAACTCAAAAGTATTGACAAGAAAACATACAATTACATAATGGAAGAGCCTTCTGAGAGATGGGCTCGATCGTGGTTCCCACGGCGACGTTATGATATGCTAACAACAAAAGGGAGAGAAATGCCTATTTTAAGAATGTTAGATTTCATCCAAGAAAAGCTGGGAGAGTGGTTTTATGAACGGAGAAAAAAGGCAAATGAAACTTTTCACAGAGTATCAATATGGGCAGAAGAAGAGATGACTAAGAAGATGGACTTGGCTTGCAAAATGTTTGTGAGTAAATTTGTTAACTTCAGCTTTTTAGATCTGTTGCAGTGATTTACTGCTTACATTTAAAAAATTCATACTTTTTCGTTTTGAAGGAAAAATACACTAATATAATTTGTTTTAATTTTTTATTCCTTGTTAGGTGTTCAACCTTGACTCAATGTTGTTTAGAATAAATAGTGAAGGAATCGAATTCATTGTGGACTTAAAGAAGAGAACTTGTGACTGCCTGGAATTCCAACTTGATGAATTGCCATGTCCACATGCAATTGCTGCTATTAATAAGAGATATTTGCAGAAATCTGATTACTGCTCAAATTGGTATTCAAGGGAAACATGGTTGAAAACATATGAAGGACATGTGAATACCGTGGGAGATCAACAATCATGGGAAATACCAGAAAATGTACAATCTGAAATCACAAAACCTCCCGATGTAGAGATTTTACAAGGAAGAAGACAAAAGAAGAGGCATATACCTGCGACTAAATCATCAGTACCATTCAAGTCTACCAAATGCAGTCGATGTAAACAAGTGGGGCATAACAGAACAACTTGCTTGTCTTCTCCAGCACCTCATCCATATTCCAAGAAACACACTGAAAAATACTCCAAGCTTCAATAATCCTTGGTCTGAATTTAGACTTTCTTTATTGTATGACATAATTCAAATGTGATTTTTTCATAGGAATAAAAAAAATAAGCTCTTGCACAATTTTATATTACTGCTAAAATACAAATCACTCATTTTTGTTGCGCAGGCTTACAGGTTTGGTTGCATTTTAAAAACGTACACAATGACTTCTGCGAGAAAAAACTTCAGGTTACAGTATGTTAAATACATATTCTTAATTAAAAACACACACACACACCTACAAAAACTCACACAAACACACATGCATACAACAAACAAAAAGAAAAGCATGTACAAACAAAAGTTGTAGCATCTCTAAGCAACTAAGAAGTATGAATCAAATACCAACAAATAACAAGTATAATGCAATAGAAAGCTAAGAACAAAGAGGGTCACAATTATATTGACATAAAAAGAGGTGAAAACAACACACATATTTCAAAACTTCAGCTCTCTCGGCTGAAGTTATACAAAATGAAGCTAAAAAAACTTCAGCTCTATAGGCTGAAGTTAACAAAAAAAACACTAACAATCACCACCATTATCATCATCACCCTCATCATCGTAATCATCGTCGTCGTCATCATCATCATCGTCATCACAGTACTCTTCAATTTCTCTAAATATCTCATCATCATCACTGTCGGAGATCACTATAGGGCAGTCGGGCAAAAGACCACTCAATCCAAGAAGATCAATCTTCAACTTGTCGAATTCATCACGTAGCTGACTTTGTTCGACGATTACTCTGTCCATATTGCAGCTTGGAATAGTCGGTCAAGCTGGGAAACTTAAAACTATCAAACTGCTGCACAACCTTGTCGAACGAGGTTGAATAATCTCCACAACTACGTTCCAGGTTAAGCCTGTTCTGGAATGATTCATTTGCACAGAGCTTTGGTGTGATTCTCTCCCAATCAGCCTTTATTTTATTCCACAAAAGAATAAGATTAGCCATCGGTTTGTTATTGTACCATTCACACTTCAAACTCTCCCACTTCTTCATAATTTCATCCATATTAGGCTTACCACTTCCGCTTGCACCAGACATTTTTTCTTTAACAAATGCTGAAAGATTAAGGAATATGATAGAAGTCTATGAATGACTATGAAATTTTCAAGTGAAGAAATTCTTAATATAGACAAAGAGTTCACCTAATCAATTTAATATCTATAAATGTAAAAGTAACTTTTCAGCTGTTTTTACTGTTTTACGTTCAGAGAAATTGAATGACAAGATTAGTAGGTGGTAAAAACAAGTATGTAGTAAATGCAAAAAGAAATGTAACTTCAGCCCTTGTAAAACCCACAGTTTTTATATAGTAAAAAAATAACTTCAGCCTGAAAAATAAATTTTACTATATAGTGAAACAAATTTAAATGAAAGACGAAGTAGTTGACAAAAGACAAAAAGTAGACAGTAAATGCAAAAAAGATAAGTATCAACTTAAAAAAATACCAAAATATGCTAAAGTTTTTGTCCTAAAGCTTTTTCGAAAAACTTCGGCCCAATATGCTGAAGTTTTTTAGTATATTTCATGAACTTCAGCACCTGATAAGCTGAAGTTTTTCTATTGGATTCAATAGTTTTTGTCTTAAGCTTTTTCAAGAAACTTCGGCCCAATGTGCTGAAGTTTTCTAGTATATTTTCAAAAACTTCAGCACTTGGTCAGCTTAAGTTATTTGTTGGATTCAATAGTATTTGTCCTAAAGCTTTTTGGAAAAACTTCGGCCCAATGTGCTGAAGTTTTTTAGTATATTTTCAAAACCTTCAGCACTTGGCAGCTGAAGTTTTTCTATTGGATTCAATAGTTTTTTCTTAAGCTTTTTCAAGAAACTTCGGCCTAATTTGCTGAAGTTTTTTCGTATATTTCCAAAAACTACAATACTTGGTCAGCTGAAGTTTTTCTATTGTATTCAATAATTTTTGTCCTAGAGCTTTTTCAAGAAACTTCGGCCTAATGTGCTTAAGTTTCTTAT